GACCAGCGGCGTTTCCCCCGGACCTAATTCGGGACCGCGGAATGGTATTCCGAAGATAAATGAGATGTCCCCCATGATATGCCTTTCACGGCTACACATCATCCTCTTTTCGCTGTTGCTCACTATCGCATTACCGCTCTAGAATGCTCTACCCGGAAGAGAAAGAGAGAGAGAGAGATTTGGTTTTAATCTCTTCTGACATTCAGGTTCTTACGAAAGAAATCTACTGATCCGATGGATCTATAATCCGTATATTGAACATATAGAATATGTAATGTTACACTTCTAAAAAATTCAATTATTTTTATATGGCATAAATTGTTCTTATATTTCTAGATTTTTATTAACTAATGACGTCCGAGTACGTTTTGACAGAAGCGTATACTTACAATATGTTACTTACTAAGCGTATATCCGACACTCTTTGATTATTATATTAAATACAAAAAAAATGTATTGCATGTAAAAAAAATATATCATTCATTTTAACAATCCTGCCAAAATCGTGCGGATTTTTACGACAAGAATCTATAAATTTCATTCGACTATTATATTATAGGTAAAACTAATGCTTCTCGCAGTTAAAATTTGAATCCGGGGAAAAAAAATCTTAATTCAAATTTATCGTAGCTTTTTCTTATTTTTGCAGTTTATTCCTCTGAGTATTCGGGATATCCAATTACGTCGTGATCTGTATCTTTACCTCTACCGTATTGAACGCACGCAATCTCGTTGCATCATCGGTTCTTACGTTAAACTGTGATTATTTTCATCATCGATACCGAACCGACGAGATCTATTACGTTTGTCTTTAGTGGCAGCTTACAAGTTGACATCTACACGTGTTTGATCCGAACGTAAAAAAAAAAAATGATGTTTCTAATACGCATTTTTCCGTAATTGCATCTCGCGCGTTCGTTTACAATGCAAATGCAGCCTCGCGCCGGCGCTATTTTAAATTTGATTAATCGTGTGATCCGCGAGCTGTATGTACATATATATACGTATATTCATTTCACGCGCGACTTTGCGCTACTCGGCTGTAAACATTTCCACTTCGGCGTCTATCCCATTCGCTCTATCGACCCAACTGCCTGCGAGAATAATTCCAGCCACGGCGCGATCTTTATATCCGCCGCGAAAAAAACCCGACGACGTGTCGTGATGACTGATGAAAAGTGACGACTCGCCCCGCGAAAAGTGGGCCGAGTGCTTGGGGGAGGGGGAAAAAAAATTCTCTTCGTCGAGGATGAAAAACGGCGCACTACAAAATGGCGTCGGTGAGTTTCGCGGCATGGAATCTGATATTACCTCACTGTAGCCGTGGCAGTGACAGTGGCCCTCTCTCTCTCTCTCTCTTCCGTCCTCCTCTTACCCGCGTCCCCCCTCCCCCTAACCACCTTCGTCGTCTACTCTTTCTTCTGCTGCCAAGCCCTCCTTTCCCGTCTTATACCTACGGCTGTATGTACCTGTCACGTCGCCACGAGGAAACTATAAAGCGCTAATTATAGTGGGTACACCGCGGTAGCCGTTCGGAACGAAAATCTTATGGAACAAACACGCGAGCGTTACTTAAGGCCATCTTGATCGCGATGTACTCTCCGTAACTGTAGTGAAGAATGATCGTCTTCATGCAATATTTAATCTTTTCCTGAGTCTAAAATCGTTGAGCTCTTCGACATGTGTGTATAGCAAATGTATCAAAAAAATGATATAAGTATTGCTAAGACTGCTTAAAATCCAATGAAAAGCCTTTTTTTTCATTAGACGATGACTAAAGAGTGATGATATTTACATCGCTCATAAATTTTTATCTTTAATAACGGTGCTTAAGTCAAAGATAGAATTAAACTTCAAAGATGAGTTGTATTTATAATTTTGAGTATGTTTTTTTTAATATCCAGCTCACCGTTCAGCCGGAACCGAAAGCTATTTAATATTAAGAATGAGAAGAGAAAAATACATATGCAAAAGTGAGTAGCGTCCTAATCAAGCCGGACGTCTTAATATGAATCGAACGACATCGACGTTTTCGGTATGAAAAGAATTCGAACGCTCCTCCCGACTCGACTCGGTGACTCACAAGTGTGCCGTGCGTGAACCGCAAGCCCGATGAAATAATCCGCCTCATCCATATTTAAAAGCGAGTCTTACTCGCGAAAATTGTGTCATATATGCCCCGCCGATTGCCATTACGTCGCGCCGCGCGCGACATTCCGCGTCATCCTCTCGCGATCGCGAGAAACGAGCGCCTCGCGTGAGTTTACGGTTCGAGACGCCGCGGATCCTGTGGAGGTTGTACTTTAAGTGAAGCCGCGCGGCTATATCGTTGGGAAATATGTCGTAATTCCGCCTCGAAGCGACACGCTGCACACGTGCAGAATATTCATGCGCGGAATAAGTCGAGCGACGGACGAGGGGGCGAAGAGAATTTTTTTTTTACGCGCGGTCGTACTTCCTTCCGGCCTTTGCGGTCGGTGAGGCAATCGATCGTACGAACGATTGAATTGAACGCACGGAAGAGTTCGACGTCAAGGCAATCAAAAATAATTTCGCGGGGATGGCAGTTCCTGCATGACATTTCTGCCTTTAACCGGTTAACCGAGCAAAGCGACACTGCGCAATTTGCTGCGATCCGTTTGTCTGTGAGAGCCGATATAAATATCTAATCCAGTCTGAAGATAAACTAAAGCGGAAGATTTCATCAGCAAGCGAGCACGACGTACAGAAAAGAGATGTTGATGTAATTATCGACAGATTTACAACAGTCGTTGAAAAAAATTGATAAGTTTATTAATGTAAATTTACTGTGAGCTTATTGAAGGAGTTCTGTGCCGTTTAAGTGCTCAATAAATAACGTCGGTGATAAATCTGTCTCGTTTTGTAGACGAAAAAAAAATAATAAGAATGTTATTAGAATTATTAGCAGGAAGTAATTAGAACGTTGCATATATTTTTCTATTTTTATTTTTCTTATTAAACAGCTTCGAACAGCTGAATTTCAAGCTATTAATAAATCAAAGTACAACATTAAAGTACACTCAAAATTCGATACATAACTTTAAACTCATTTTTTAAGTTTAATTCGAGAAAACCTTTTCTTTTTCGACTCAATACAGACATTATTTTCCGACATCTTTGTTAAAGAAAAATCGACTGCAATTTAAGGTCTATTCGTGCAGCAAGCGCGCGAGCTCGTGTCCATAAATCTAAATAAGCCAGAAGATTTCGATTTAAACAAACTACATATATATATTCTACGAGAATCATTATATGTATTGCTATGCATTCGCGGTCGCGGCGCATTCAAACGAAACGGGCTCTATCTGCCGTGCAACTCCTCCTCGCAAAATAATTCCACGAGCGGGCCGAGTCCAAGGTTCCGCGGGACACGGCGAGAATGCCCCCCCTCGGGAAGGGGGGGGGGGGCCGAGAGCGAGAGAGAGAAGTCTCGAGGGGAAGAAACGGGATCAGAAGGTCACACCGCTGAGCGGCGAGCGCTGAGCAGAGCAGTTGCTCTCGGTGCTCGCCTCGTTAAGGATCGCCGAGGGGGGACCCCTCGCGTTCCTCCCCCCCCTCCCCCGGCAGCAGCTCGGTATGTATGTAGGTACCTCCGTCCCTCCGCTACGGGGCCCTTTTCTCGGGGGGTCCGCTCACTCTCGCAGCACGCGAATCCCGCGGGCGCGAGCGGTGCGTTCCTCCTCGGCTCGGCGCGGTAGGTGGGTGTGTAGGACATAGCGGACTCCCGCAGTCAAGGACACGTTCCGCTTGCCCACACAATCGCGTCTCGCATTCACCGTCGCGCGTCCCGTCCCGTCCCGACCCGTCCCGGCACGTCGCGCCGTATCGCTCCGCTGCACCAGCTGGATATATGCGTGCGTGTATATACGCATACGTGCGTACACTCGAGCGAGCGTCGATCTGCCCGCTTGTATTCGCGCGCGCGCGATCGCGCCGGACACGGCACGCAGTGTCCGTTTAATATTCATTAAAACGGAAGGATTAAAAAACGTGTGTGTAAACAGTTAAAATTGACTCTCTCTCTATTGGAATTATTTTTAACATGATGTATAAGAGTTTAATGTCATATATTCTAATGTATGACAGATGCGCGAGCGGCATGTACAAATTCTGCAGTTACATTAATTACTTGTTAAATCTCTTTTTTCTTTGTTTTCAGGTGATGCGAAATCAAGGTTGCAATAAACGTGGATGGATAGACTATTGAGATTAACATAAAACTGATGCATTATTAGAACAAATATAATAATTATTAAAGCGATTTATTTTATTAAAATTAGTCTTAATGAAAATCTTCACTAAGATTAATCGGAATGTATGATATATATATAACTATGAAATATTGCCTGTTCTATTATTTATGCTCATAATATATATGTATATAAAATACCGAGTGTTCTTTGTCTTGCATCAATTTACATCTAATCCTAACAGATTACAGAAAAACGAAACACGGATTTTTAATATTTGTGTTTAAAAAATATTGGAAATTTTGGAATATTAGACAATCAACAACATTAATAAAAAATTCTATTATGTATAAATATTGTATGCATTTTTGGTGTATAAAATAATAAATCTTCGAACAAATATATAACATTAAATATATACCATAATTTCCTTAAACTCATTTAAATTTCGAAGTAATTAAGATATAAGATATTATAAAACGGCAATGTGTATATTTATTGCTCCATTATCTCCGAATAAGAAATAAAAAATGATTTGAGGATTTAGCGGCGGAGTTATAGCACTACGTTGATTTATAAAATATAAATAAAAAAGATCCACAAATCGTATAGCAACAGTCAGAATAATTAATATTTTAAAAAATAATTATCGCGCGCATAAAACTTTTTATTCATCTTTCGTGCGTGAGTAGGTGTTTGATAAAATAATTGTGCGATTTCTGAGAAAATTCTCAACTACTTCTTAATTTTTATAAAAACCCTACAAATAAGATAAAATAAATTACTCACTTTATGGTTGCTCTGCCGTCATCCGATGCCTCCTCCCTGGCCTTCTCCACCTCGCTACAGGATTCGTTCCTTGCACCCGCACAACACAACACTCCGCGAAAAAAAGGATAGTTCACTAAGTTTGGAAACATGACGATCGAACAATATTTCGTTGACATTCCCGGCGTCATTACGCGATGAGAATTTCATTACATTATGATCGCGATAAATAACGAGAGATGTGAAATACGTACATCAAAGTCAAAAGTCACATTCTGTCACTCTTTAACAGTTCGGTATCGTTCTCGTTGTACAGCTCTTTTGCAATATATATCATTACTCCACGGTTTCTCCGTCATTGCCCGATGCCTCCCTGGCCTTCTCCATCTTGATACAGGATTTGTTCTTTGCACCCGCACAACACAACACTCTGTGAAAAAAAAAAATAGTTCACTAAGTTTGGAAACATGACGATCGAACAATATTTCGTTGACATTCCCAGCGTCATTACGCGATGAGAATTTCATTACATTATGATCGCGATAAATGACGAGAGATGTGAAACACATACATCAAAGTCAGAAGTCACATTCTGCCACTCTTTAACGACAGTTCGGTATCGTTGTCGTTGTACAGCTCTTTTGCAATATATCATTACTCCACGGTTGCTGCGCCATCGCCCGATGCCTCCCTGGCCTTCTCCTTATTACAGATTCCTTTGTTGCATCCATACAACATAACAACCTGTGAAAAAAACGAATACAGTTATGATCACTAAGTTTTGAAACATGACGATCGAACAATATTTCGTAATTAACATTCCCGTCACGCAATGAGAATTTTATTATATATTATGATCACAATAAATAACGACGAGAGATGTGAAATATGTACATCAAAGCCAGAAGTTAAATTCTGTAACTTTTAATGACACTTTGTTATCGTTGTCATTATGCAGTTCTTTTGCAATATATATATATATATTATATATCATACCTGTGCAATGAGAATGAAAAGCACATTTGTTACAGAATTTAACTGTAGTACTCTGATTCTGTAAAGGTATCATAAAAGTAATTAATCGACCATGCATTTATAATTTTTTTATCTCATATCACTTCGTCTTCTGTCATACGATTCTATTGTGTACGAAATCACGTGTTGAACAAAATATTTGTTTCGATATTAATAAAAAAAAAAAGTTGCAGTACTCGGATTCTGTAAAGATTCGAGTGTAAAGGATCAGAAAAGTAATTAATCGCCCGCGCATTTATAATTTTTTTATCCCACATCACTTCGTCTTCTGTCACACGAGTCTATTGTGTACGAAATCAGGTGTCGAGCGAAATATTTGTTTTCAATTGATAAAAAAAAAGTTTCGTCGCAGGACCTTTTTTTTAATCGCGCGGGTTAGGTTAGGTTGGACTAATCATCGCGATTGAACGCCGTTCGATGACGATCCCCTCCTACTTCTCGCGCAATTAACAATTATAATTTAACACAAGAAGCAATAATAATATATATTCGTATACTCGCCGTGGATCGAATAGCGTGAGTAATGAGAAAGGTGATTGACTGTACAACGAAATATTATTCGCTCCGACAAGCAGCCACCGTATATGTATTCTCGTTATACGTTCCCGCGAACCGTTCATCAGTTATAACTTGCTGCGGGTGGATTGCTCGTTAGTTGTGAGCAGTAATTGTAGGCAGAAGCGCGTACAGAATCCTCCAGTGCTCGTCGCGATAGGAACAATGATAATAACGGCATATGCCTGCCGAGCCGGACGCCTTCTTTCTTTTTTTTAATTTCCTATACCTATGGCATCTGCCCTTGCGAAGCGAGGGTCGACAATACGGCCAAATTTTTAATTGTGCGATGAGATACTTATAAGTCGCGTGGTGAAGATACTAATAATTCGAGAATACTGGAATCGTTGCGATGCCCTCGCGAGTCGCCGCCGACACCGATTACGTCGAATCTCATCACTTTCTTTCACTTCACCGCGCGAGATTAGGAAGGTGACTGTACGCGAGTTACGCTCGCGGGGGGGGGGGGAGGAGGCGGAGGGGGTCGTCGCGCGCCAGTGCCGCCAGTCAATCAACCGAAAAAGTTCAAAGCGCGACCCGCTCGATTAGGAAACATTATATGTATGTACACACATTGCTGGGGGCCGGTAAGGTAGCTGACAGATACTGACAGTAGCACTTCGCCGAATTGAGCGACGCCCAACGCCCATCGACGTCGTATTGTGACACGAGATCACCTTTTTATTACGATTCTCGCACGGCGAATCGTCGATGTGCGAACCGCGAATCTATAAAGCTACGCGTCGAGCAAGTATATACATAATTGAAACACAGTCGCGCTTGTACTAATTATAGAGACGCGTCCAGACGTCACACACTCGCGACTCTCGATCGCGATGTTCACGGTGTGAGTATTGGAAAATTTTGAACGCGCCCAATTCCTCACGATTATGGCTCACGATTTATGTATAACGATATATATAACGTCAGCCCGCAATTAAAGAGGCGAGGTCTGAGGTAACGAGACGACTGTCACTTTGTCGTGTGATTCAGTCTTCGTTGAGATAAAACTCGACGAAATGAAGACGAGAATTATTATAAATCGACGTCTTATTACGGACACATCTATATATATACGTATAAAGTCGCAAACGCGGAGAAAAAAATGAAAGAAACGTCAAAAAGAGAGAGAGAAACGTCCGATACGATTTTTCTGAATGGTATAGTCAATTTTTTGATATATATATATTATTCCAATTTGATGCGAGAATCTTGTAATGTCTTTTTACATTTTATCCGCTACATATCTCACCTCTCGTTTTCGGAATATATGTATATAATACATAATTCGTGGCACATTCAATCGGATCGATTCGAGCAAGAGAGAGCCGTACGTGACACGTCGATCGTTTATCAATTATGCATGCGACGAATTTCACGGAATTTACAGAAATTCAAAATACATATCGCGCAGGCAGTTCTGAGGAAGTTTCACCATCACGTTTCTGCATAATCAATCGCGTCTTAATCAGCTGTTAACTCAGCTCGCACGGTATCGGCGTGAAAATTGCCGACGGGACAGACCGATCGCGAGTGGGTGGCGTCTCGACGCGTCTCTAATAATTAATAAGTACAACCGTGATTAAACTCGTGTTTCAATACTCGCTTGATCGCGTATAGCTATTAGATTCGCGATTTGTACGTCGATGATTCGTCGAACGTGATGCTTGCGAGATTTACACGCGAACAGACGGGGGGGGGGGGAGGGGTAGAGCCGATCGACATTCGATATGCACATGATTCGCGTAAATCGTGAATAATTTTTCATTGTGTATCTCTTCATTCGTGTTAGAACACGTACAAGACGATAATTGTTCTGCCGGACGCAGATATACGTTATTCGATAATACGTTATTCGTTATTCATTTACTGCACAAGAGACGGAAGATGTACGTAATTTCATGTAAACGAAAGTAAAGGATTAACGAATGTAGCGTCGCCGGTCGCCGCGGCGAGCGTCGGCACGTGAATTGGCCAGCCGGGCAGCCGCGCGTGATCTTTGGCCTTCCCTCCCCGCCCCAACGTCGTCGCGCCATACGCAACGCAACGCACCCTTGTCGTCCATTTTCCCAGTGTAGAGATGATACAATTCGATATCGAGTCGACGAAACGTCACCCGATATCGATATCGACTCGATATCGAATTGGCGATCATTTCTCACTTGCTGTACTACGTGAGTAATGCGAAGCGTCCGTGTCGTGGGGATTCGCGGGGGTGATCGCGGTCCAGATCGTCAGCTCCGCACGTAATTATGTGCATACATTTCCCGTGGCTGCCGCGTCCTTTTCGCCGCGATGCGCAAACGAAGTGTGTGCGTACCGGTCGCGTGTGCGCCAGATCGAACGTACGCAAGTACGGCCGAAGTGGTGTGGAGCACACACGGACGTGGTGGACTCTTGGCTCTCGGTCGCGTATGCCGTTGCGTCTGTATTTGGCAGTTCGGGATCGTCGGGAGTGCTGGGTGTCGAAGCGTCGTGCGATCGTCGTTTTCTGGCGATCGGTCAATCGCGCGCCCGATCGCACCTAGAACCTAACCTAACCTCACCTGGGTTTTTCGCGAGTGCGGAACGTTAGCATGTATGCATACGTACGTGAGCAACGAGGATGGCTGAGAGGAGGAGGAGGAGGCGGCCGACCGGCATCGGGCGACAGCGGAGCAACCGTGAGGTGAGTTAATTATTTATTATGCCCTACCCGCGTTATATTATATCGCCGCGACCACTCAATTTGCATCAATTCGTGTATGTTATTTTGGAGATTACTGTGCATATTGAGTCGTTTTTAATATAATTAGATGTACTTATTTATATTTTTCACAAATGCTTACGCGAATCTAAAATACTTTCTGTATACTTGATATTTATTTGTATAATTTTTCAATCAGACTTTATCGCGCAATAATTATTTTGTGGAATATCTAATTGTTTTATAGTTACGCTATAATTGGGATGTATTTGCATTTTTCAGATCAACTTGTGTACCACAACTCCGCTGCTGCACGTCGTATCGGTGGGTTCTAAATTTATTGTAATGTTGAAGTAATGGATTTATGAAGATATTATATTTGACGTGTGTAACGCATAAAATCAGAATAATTCGCATAATATCAGAAAAGAATTGGAAATCTTTTACTGTTATTAGTACAAAAATTCGAGATTTATAATGAAGTTTATAACAGATGAGACAGTAAATATATGCCACATTATTTATTATTATAAACAGGTTCATATTTAAATATATTTATATATAATATTTATTTTATTGTGGCTGTTATATGTTCGAGAATGAATTTTAAATGTTATTAAATCAAAATACTATAATCAGAAACTATATTAAGAATGTTGTAGACAAATATATTTCATAAATCCATTGTGTATGTACCATGTATACGTGTGTGTTGTGAAATGGATGGGCGAGGATAAATTATAATAAAAATTTATCCATGAATTACATGTATTATTATGTAATATATTGATTTATTATGCATAGAAGAATGCATATATATATTTATATATGAAACTCGTAAAATAGACCTCATTACCATGCACCATTAACCAGTTTAATTATTTATGAACATCTTATCGTGCAACAAGATATTAATTAAAAGATGCTGATCAACAGTTTATAGGAAATTTAAACTCATCAGCATAAGTAATATAACGCGAACATAATAATAATATTTAAATAACTCTGATATCAAATATATTATGATTGATTAGATTTTTGCGTTAGATTAACATTTAGATAAATAGCGGTAAAAGAAGAAAAAAAAATTAATAGAAATATAGTAGTATTTTTAGAATATAGAACTTTTCATTTCATTTTTTTTCTTTCATGATCTTTCAAATGGAAAGGATGAATCTCCATAAGACATTCATATCGAGGTTTATTTCTGTTAACAGAATATGATTTATGATTCTATTCTAATTTTTCCTGGTCTATCCATTAATATTGATCGATAACTTGGTCTTACGTCATTTGCGACTACAAAGTAAAGTGATAGATGTGAGATTCGATAGAAATACTTCGTCATGAAATAAAAGAACTTTTTATGTAGTTTATTTTAGAATCAATTAATTATATATACCGGTTATATTATGAATATATTTGAGGTATTGAAATAATATCCCTAAGGTATTCTACATTAAAAATTATTTTTTTAACATTAACAGTATATTAATGAGAGAGTATTATTAATGAGTGTATATTTATATCGACTTGAAAATTCATAAAGATGTTTATCACGAGCATGAAAGATTCATTCGGACAACAATACTAATCGTGCAGGAAATCCATTAGCTGTTTCGGATCTCACGTTTTATCTCATCAGTTATTACAATTTAGACAGTAAACAACTGACTCGAGAACATTAAGAAGATGTTTATTTTTTTTCAAATTAACGTGTTATAATTATGAAAAAAAAACTGAAGTTTAGAGTTTAGCAAATTGAGAGAAAGTTTTTTAAGCGTACCTTCGCGCGCTGCAGAGGAACGTGCCAGGGGATAAGTTGATTTTTCACGAAGGCGTATCGCGCGTGTCCTGTCTTCACCTCCCCCCCCCCGTCTCCCCCCCTATTATCGTAATGCGAATAGAATTACCATGCTCGCGCATGGCGTACTACAAAGTCGCGAGCAAATATGCCGATTGCCTTCAGGGACACGTTTACCCTCTATCCTGTTAGAGCCGGACAGGAATGCCGGTGCGAGACGCCTTCTCTCGTTGGCAGGATTCTCACGATGCGCCGCGCGCCGCTCCGCCGCGCCGCGCCACGGCCGCCTCGAAGCCGATCCCGATCATTCTCGGTTCCATTAAAACGAGTCGGCGGCGAGCGACAAAAGAAGACTCGCGGTCGTCCGTTGCGCGAAATACCATGCAATTTCGTGGCGAGTCACTCGCGCCGATCCCCTTTCCCGCCCGCCCGCGTGTCCCTGTAGGCGAATATTATCCGAGCTCCGGAGCGGAGGTGTACACCGAGCGCGGCGCGATAAGCAGTTTTTCCGTGGAAATTGACGTTCTTAGGCCCGCAATCACGCACGCATCGCGGATCGCTCTGTGATAACATAAATTCAGGCTCCACGTATATATACGTATAATCGCTCGCTAATCGCACAAAGACCGGTTAACGAGATGGCACGTTGCGAGATAAATAGATGAGAAAATTTCAAATTCGACGCAACGACTCGAATGTAAATGATCAACGCCAATTATGTTTAGACTATATAGATGTTGAATCGAAAAGGCGCCAGTAGTAGCTATAATATAATCACTTCGGCTTAAAGTTGTTACTATAATATATGGATATATATGTATACTGCGTCTTATCTATTTATCTAAATACATGCACATGCCATTCTTTAGTAGGGATCATTAACCTGCCGTATCGAAGTGTATTAATTAATTACCGATCGGAGAAACACACAGGTGGATAAAT